AGAATAGGATTTTGGTTCAAGAATTTTAAAAGTGGAAGAAAGAAAGGACTTAGTAGACAAAGGTAAATGATCATAAGACAAATATGTTGAAATAGGATACTTACTTGGCATGGAAGAGGATTGGTAAGAGTGAACAAAGTCATTCAGCCATGATGGAGGTTTGAAACCCGAGAGGATTTTCGAAGAGAAACACTTGATTCAAGAACAACAAATGATGGCTGACTATTATCTTGGTTTAAAACAGAAGACTCATTATTGTCCAATGGAGCCACCAAAACCTATACCAGAAGACTCAATTGAATCTGTTAAGGGTTGAGATGAACCAGAAGAATGTGATAAAGGTGAGCTGGTTGGAACTATAGGAGAAGAATCTGAACCGAGAACCAAAGCTGGAATATCAAGGACCAAAAAATCTGAATCTGGAGCAAAGGAAGAGTGAGGAAACAAAGGAGAGTCTTTGTGATTAGAAAAACGAAAAGGAAAAAGATGTTCATGAAACTTGACATCCCGACTGACAAAGAAAGTTTTAGTTTCTAAACTAAACATGATGTAACCCTTTTGAGTTGAGGAATAACCCATAAAGACTGAAGGCACAACCCTAGGAGAGAACTTATCAGCACATTTAAGTTGAGTAGCATATCCAAGACAACCAAAGATTTTCATATGTGACAGATTAGGTTTTTTGTCATAAAGCATTTCAAATGGACTTTTCCATTGCAAAACAGCAGAAGGGAGCCTATTGATAATATAGCATGCAGTTTTGACACACTCACCCCAGAATTTTATTGGTACATTTGACTGGAAACGTAATGCCCTAACCACTTCAAGCAAATGTTTGCGCTTACGTTCGGCTATTCCGTTTTGCTGAGGTGTTCTAACACAAGAACTTTTATGGAAAATTCTCAAAGATCTAGTTTGTTCACATCTGATCAGTTGAAATTGGACGTGATTCCGTAGCACATGAAATTGGAGATTTAAGACTGTAGAAATTAGATAATATATGATCTGTGGCACCTGTATCTAGAATCCAACACACATCAGAACCTTTAGTCATTGAATAAGCGGAAATATTACCTGCCAAATTAGCGGATGCCTCTAATGTAGGCCCTTTGAGCAATTCAAGAATCTGATATATTGCTCACGCGTGAAACCTGGTGCCCCTGTAGGTTTTTGAATGTCAGCCATGCCTGTTTCCTGACCCGAACTATCTTCAGATTTATTGACAACCATGGCAGCTTGTGAATTATTCTTCTTTGTGAACTTAAAATCCGGGGGGAAACCATGCAACCGATAGTAATTCTCACGTTTGTGGCCTCTGATTTTACAATGATCAGATGTGTCATTAAATCGACGGCGTTCTTGATTATGTGAGGTATTCGTGTACATCACCGTGGAATATATCAAGGGCGATAGACCAGACAATTGAACACGATGAGATTCTTCTTGTGTAATCATCGAATAAGCCTGGTTTACGGTAGGCAACGATTGCATGAGCAAAATTTGACTCCTCACAGCAGTGTAAGTCTCGTTCAAACCCATAAGGAATTGAAATAATTTTTGCTGAGCCAGAAGCCTCTGATTTTGCTGCGAATTCTCACATTCCCAGGAAGAAAATGGCACCAAAGAATTATATTCATCCCATAGCAATTTCAGTCGTGTGAAATAAGTTGAGACTGAAGAATCACCTTGATTCATCGTTGCAATTTCACGATGAAGGTAAAAAAATCCTCGATCCATCCACCTTGTCAAATCTCTCTTTCAAATCTTGCCAAACTTGCGCCGCCGTGGTCGCAAACACTATCCCCGCCGGCAAATCACTGCTCACGGTGTTAAGTATCCAAGATAGAACAAACGCATTACAACGCTCCCAATGCGGATGCAAAATCTCGTCGTAATCCTCCCGTCGACAATCTCCAGTAACAAATCCCAACTTATTCTTTGCTAACAGAGCAATTCGCATGGTCCTGCTCCAGATGTTGTAGTTCTCAACTCCTGTGAGACGATGCGACACCAAAACGCCTCCTGAAGTATCAGATGGATGGAGAAAAAGAGGACGATTAAAATCGATTTCCTGATTTCCGATAGGCGGCATGACGAGCAATCACCAAAGAAATTTTGCTGAAGAATTTGGGAAGAAAGAAAATAATGTGATAAGCCCAAAGAAAAATGGCCCAATAACGTGACCCAGACCAACAACACAAAAAATGGTCTGCTGAAGAACTAAACTAAATCAAACGGAAAAGAAAGAGCTGAAGAATGCCAAACAAATGATGAAGAATACAGAAAAGATGAAGAACACCAGAAACAATTTACAGGACGTCAGGATCTTTGGCGAATGATAATACATTATTATTGTTTATTTCACTTTCAGGTATAATACATTTTGGTTTTATAATATTTTTACTTGAATTATCAAATGGAATTCAATTAAAATATTTTATGCTATAAACATTGATATTTAATTTATTAATCGATTAATTCAAATATAAACAACGATTCTTCCAACTCGGTTTATTATATTCACAACATGAATATTCTTATTTCTAATCTTACTAAAGATATATCGCATATCATCCTGCTAAATGAATATATAATTAATAAAATAATATTGTAAAACAAATAATTGGACAAATTTTCATTAAAATCAAATAAATATAATGATTCTACAAGTTTTATTTTCTCACGGCCCTATCCAGTTACTTGGCCCATCATTTCATAGGTCCATTGAGATTCACTTAAACCAAATCTCAATCTCCCAAAGCAAGCCCAAAAACTTGAGAAGATTACATAAATATGTTTTTATTCCTAAATTTCTGCTTTTTCTTTGTTACGACATAAATAGCCGCCAGCACTTGCTATTTTTTTCACAAATAGAAAACAATAAAGAAAAGAGAAAATAACTTCAGTGACAAAAAATCCTAGATAATATACGATTTTGATCAATTTTTTTTGGATTTACGAAAATGACCAACAAAATCGCAATGCGATCTTTAATTCGCACTGCGATCTCCACTATCGCAAATTCGCGTTACATTTTGCGTTGCGATAGTTGAAAAGCGCGTTGTGATTTTCCATTTTACGTTGCGATAGTCTACAGTTGTCGTTGCGATTTTCTAAATTCGTTGCGAAAATTTGTTGTGATAGTTAAAAAAAAGATTTTGTTTCTTAAAAATCTTCTCTAAAAAGTTAGTATCCGCGCGGACGTGTCGAAGACACGTATGACGTATGACCACGACCACAACCCGACCCGACCCGAGACGGACGGCGACGGTGACGCGCAAGAGTCCCCCTTGCTCTCTATCACTCAACAAGGAAGTGGGAAAGCCAACCCTTAAATACCATTCCCAATAGTGTTTCCAATACTATGTGAGATTTGAGCATTACCAACACTTGTTCCCAATACTATGTGGGATTGAGCCTTAAATAGTGATATTATTTTTGAATGTTTTGCTTAAAATTACAATAATCGCGATTGATTGTAGATTAACTTTTAATTATGACATATTTAATCGTATAATACTAATGCAATTGGTTGCTGATTCAGTTGTTTTAAGGTGCATGATTGTTAATTGTTTTCTGAATAATTACATTATATTGGAAACAAGTGTTGGTAATGCTCAATCACACATAGTATTGGAAACACTATTGGGAATGGTATTTAAGGCTTGGCTTTCCCACTTCCTTGTTGAGTGATAGAGAACAAGGGGGACTCTCGCGCGCCGTCGCCGCTGTCTGTCTCGTCTCGGGTCGTGGTCGTAGTCGTGGTCGTGGTAATACGTGTCTTCAACACGTCCGCGCTGACACTATCTTTTTAGAGAAAATTCTTAAGAAACAAAATCTTTTTTTTTAACTATCACAACGAATTTTCACAACGAATTTGGAAAATCGCAACGACAACTGTAGACTATCGCAACGCGAAATGCAACGCGAATTTGCGATTGTGGAGATCGCAATGCGAATTAGAGATCGCATTACGATTTTGTTGGTCATTTTCGCAAATCCAAAAAATATTGATCAAAATCGTATATTATCTAAGATTTTTTGTCACTGAGATTATTTTTTCTATAAAGAAGATTATCCAAAAAAAAAAAGAGAGAGAGAGAGAACAATAAAGAAATAAACTTCAACAGAAAGACTAAATACACACAAAAAAAGGGTATAGTATAAGGACTTTTAATACAATTTAACCCAAAAGAGACGATTAATTCAAAGTCGGTTTGTAGATTGCATATCCAAAGAGACGAATATTCTATAACAATGAAGCGAGAAAAAAGAAAAACTCGTCGGCTTTCGTAGGCTCGGTCCTTTTTAAAAGAGGCAAAAGAAAAACATAAAGTTAAGATTAAGACAGAAGAAGAAAGCAAAGATGTGTTACGAAGCGAAGTGCTCAACATGCGGCAAGACAACATGGGGAGGTTGCGGAAGGCATGTTCCGTCTGTTTATAATCGGGTGCCGGAAACCCAACGCTGCAACTGCCGGGAATGGCCGGGTGTCAACTCTTCCGCCGCTCAAAATAGTGACCAACCTTCCAGTTATTGCACCGTTTTATGAAAAGAATCTTGCCTTTTTGTTTTTCCTGTTGACTTCCAGATCTGTTTTATTTTAATGCTTGTGTTGTTCTATCTTGATTGATATCAGCTGGGTTTTTTGTTGACTTTGTTTTAAAAATTGTTATCTTCAGCTCCTTGCATATCGTTTTAAGTCTCTTACTTCTACTAGCTTGAGCAAAGAGCAAACTTACTCATAAATCATTAATATTTATGCATCACAAGAGAAAAGGCAATACTTGATCATGAATGGTTAATTAGATGCTACTAGGGATGGTAAAGGTTGCAAATTTCTCAAATTACGAATCTTTTTGTCGTAGACTAGATGAATTTTTTGTGGTAACAACTAACAAGCATTACTCCCTGCTAAAAATTGAAAATACTATGAAAGATTACGATAAAAAAAGGTTGAAAGTTTGACCCAATTAATTTTGGGTTTTTGTTTTCTTCCAAAACGAATTGATCCATAAAACTACGATTGGACCCAGAGTTTTTGGGTTGAGCTTCAGCCCATAAGGATCAGAACCCCATCCCTTCAATCAATCGTCGTCTGCACAAGTTAAACCCTAGAGGCCAAACACACATAACAAATCTCTGGTGTTTACGAGTAAAGTGTTTCTGTGTAACATGGCGCTTTTGGCGTCCTCCTTGGTGCCTTCAACTCTGAATATCAAGGTATTCCTTCGACTTATTCTCTGCTTATATATAATCTAACTATAATTATCAGCTTAAATTTATCTTCCATATCAAAATGGAACTTGAAATTAGTACAAACTCCAGTTCGTTTACACCCCATTTTTTCTATTTTCACATACAGGTTAGGCAACATGAACACCAGCCTTGTTCGTTTCAGCTCAATAGTTTTCCGTTGCAATTAAGTCGTCGTCGTCGTCGAGTTTCTACAACACGTCAAATGAAAATAACAATGGCACTGTTTGGGAATCCGAATAAGATCAAGGAACAACTCGTTATCATCAGGGACAAATTATGGGAGAACAGCCCCAACTCTGTAAAATCTTTCCCTTGGAAAAAAGCTGAGAATTTACTGCTGGATAAACTAATTATCGCGGGACAGAAGGCATTGAAGTTTTTTCTCGTTACATTTATTGTGATCAGTTGTCTGTCGGATTTCATGTTTTCTATTTCCAGAAATCAAGAATTGATAATACCCTTCGGTCTGATTGTTGGATTATTGATGTCTTATTTCTTAAAAGAAACATCCCAAGAAGCATTTCGAAGCTTCCAGGTAGATTCTTCGTTCTTTAATATTGTGTATGTGATCATTCGAGTGCCTGGTTTATTGTAATTCTGGGGTTTTTCCTGTTTAAGCAGGGGAAGGACTTGGAATTTAAATGGCAGCTCTTAGCAATGGGTGGCCTCTTTGTTGTTTTTAAGTTTGTTTCTGCATTTTTCGTGATACGAACAAAGGTGTTTCTTTTGCATGTCGCGAATGGTGGATTGATGCAAGTTTTGTGGCTATGGAAAAGCTTTGAGGCCGGAAATGGAGACGATTTGTTTTCCATGAAAGATGGATCATCTTCATCTGGAGTTGCAGAAAGTTGAGTTCTTTACTACGTCGTAATCTGTAAGTCACACATCGTGCTAGTTGTGCTGTGACAGTTAGTTGAACAAAACAATTAGCGAGTATTTCAGAAGCCGCATAACATCAAATGATGAAATTTTCACCTGCATTGAAATATTGTTAACATGCACTGACGTAAATGGGCAAAGAAGTTGAAGAGCAGTGTCATTTTCGTTTAGTTTGGTTAAAATCGAACCACCCAAATACTCCAGTTATTTGCCAACCAAAGTAGAAAAGAAACTAACATTTATTGTAATAACCAAAATTGTACAAAAGAGAGTATCGGTTCAACATTTCAATTCGTGTATACACATCAAATATATTAACACTTGGAAACTGTACAAGTATGCATATCAAAGGGCTTTTTCTATGTTTATCTTTTCCCCATTAAGAATCAAAACTAAAATGACAAAGTAATTCGATTGTAGTGTCTTTGTAGAGCAAAAACTTGATGTTCTATTTTGTAAATCCCATTGCCACCATTAACAGATCCTCTAAATGGATGTTTCTATCAACCGATTCCCCTTCCAAATGCAACGAACAGCCTACTTTTCATTCAACTTAACAAGCGGATTTCCTGAAAGTCTAAAGGTACAGATTCAAGCAATTACGAATCGATTCTAGATGGAAAGAAGTCGAACAAGTTAGCACCAGAACCACTATACCTGGATTAGGAGACTCTGGATCTTTGGAACTATCGTGATCTTTGTTCTGCCCGCTGTTTGCGGGCATGGACAAGTCCTGAGATGTGGACGGGTCCTGAGAGATGGACAAGTCTGGACAAAGAAATGGGAACTGACAATATGCTGTGCGTAGCAGCTTATAGATCTCTTCTGCCCTACCCAAATTCTGATCTTGTCTATCCTTCTCTATAAGAACCTGAACAACCAAATCATCACACCAACAAAAAAAATGTTTCGGGAGTTTGGTAGAGAGAGATTTCTGGTTCTTACCTGTGCAGGACTCCTCTTGAAAACAGGGGAAAACCTCTGCCTACAGTACTCATTGAACAGAAGAGTTAAAATTATCAGGGGAATGGTGAAACCAGAAGCAACAGGTGATCTTTTTATACCGAAGACCCCAAGGGCAATAACTTGGGTCAACACTAATGAGAAGATAGTTGTGTTGTGAACAACAGGCCAAAACAGTCCCCCGCATTCATATTTAGGTACATATACATTGAGAATCTGGGAAAAAAGAAGAAAAAAGCATGACCAAAGAACAGGTAGAAATTGAATTCTTCTAGATCTATCTTGTACTTAATTGCATAATATCATCATGCTTCATGCAGAATAAAAACACACCACGAACAACTTGTAACATAAATGTGAAAATTGTAGAGGCAGATTATCTGCTAGCTACTTAAGTACAAAGAAGATATTGACATATTCTATAATACAGAGGAAATGGAAGCTTAGATGTAAATTCCATAAAGAAGCTTTCCAGAGTTACTAATATATAAATGTGTTTTACAAACAAGGTTGACATGTAGGTTGTAAAGCTTGGAATATACTTCCAAGAATTGGCTCTCACTAAGGGGGACTTTGGCTGTTCGGCACCATTTCATTGCTCGCACTCCCCGTATTTTCTTTTACAATTTACAATATGTTTAATGGGGACTACTTCATTGGAGTGAACAAAAACTAAAATAAAAAATGAAAAGCAGTTCAATATCCAAAATGTGGAATTTGTTTAACAAACTGTAATCTAGAAATCTTATTCTCTTAGCTTAGTTTTTATTAGTGTGAATGAACAAGGTTAACAATATATCAAGAAACCATGTCAACATAAACAAAATGCACTATTATTTGATTAACAAAAAAGAAGGGCACAAAATTGATCAGAAAGCACACACACCTGGTTCCGGTAGACGAGGAAAGCAAGAACGAAGTAAATCAACAAGAAGGGCACTATTAAGGGTGCATGACAGACACGTGAAGCCAAGCAGTCCAAACAGAAGAAGTCGTGGGATTTCAGTATGGTGAGGGAAGGTTAGAGCAGAACTACTACATGGCTCTTCCTGCTTTCTTAGTATGAATCTTCTGAACCAATTGTAAAATAGAGGAAAAAGTTGAATTACTTCACAGGACAAGCTCGCCCAGCCCGATGTTAAAACATAAGTGGTAAAGAAGGTAGCCTGCATTTACTCAAGAAGACAAGAACACTAATGACTGTCAGAAATATTCCTGAAGACTCGACTTCAGATGACATTAAAGGGAAAAAAACCCAAGAGTAAGGTATTGCTATGCAGGCTTTTTAAAACCAGAAGTTGGCTATCACATGACGCATCTCTTGTAGACCAAGATAAAATTTAAATCTAGATGCACCTGAAACTTTGCCATGAGGTTGAAAGAATTGAGGTTCTATTAAACCAAATATTATGGAGTGGCATGAAAAGTTACCTGGGTCGGTACTGCTTTGGCAAGTTGTGTAGGTATATCTCTAACACTTGAGAAAACACTCAATTGTCTAATTATGGATCCAGAAAGAACATTAACAAAGAAAACATTCCAGATTGTGAAGTACAGAACTTTAACACATGCACTTCGTTTCCTCTCACTGCGTGAAACAACTCCCTCAATTGTGGAAAACAGCATCATGGTTGGTGGAACAACATACATAAATAACATCAGAATTACACTTGGTAGGTAACCTGTTACAAGCTGGTTCATGAACTTGCTGCAAATATGAACATATAGGAAAGGTTAATAAAAAAGCCAAATCTATTCTTCACTAATAACAAAAAAAAGCAAATTATGATGTACAAAATAAAACCAATTACTTTTGTAAGTTGGTTAATTAGAAGCTAGCTGTACTAGCTCCTGAATAATTTTACTCTCAAGTGTTCATATCATATATGTATATATATATAAAAGTAAATAAAACCCAAAACTTTTAACAAGATCATGAAATACCGGAAGGAGTCAATAAGGAACTTCTTCCAGAATAAGTAATAAAAATTTCATCTGTAATCTATCAGTTGTTAGAAGCAAATATATTGCAGCAGATTATACAAGGAACAAAAAGCTACGAGCATGATGGTCAAGGGATATTATTATTTATTCTTCTATTTACATCCATGTTCATTTTTATACATTGAGATTGTCTTGTCAGAGCCTTCACTCTGTGTCTGTTCCCAGTATATGCCACAACATTTTCAAAATATTTAAGTATAATGCTCATATCACCCCAGTGCACATGAAATTCCAAGCATTTAATTTCCATATAGTTTCCAAAATTAAGATGGCATAATCTATTCCTGTATACTGATTTCCTTGAGGAAGCCGATATAAAATATAAACAAATGATCACATAAAAACTTATAATGGTAGATATATAGCAGTACAAAAGGGTTTAACAAGTATTGTTCTTTTCATGTGTTATGTATGTATAAATGCATAATTGCATATATTCTAACATGCTGCAAATTCCATATTCTATTTCATTGCTTCAGACATCAGCCACAACTGCAATGTGTAATGATAGCAACATAGCGAAGACTAACCCCCTAACACAACTTAGCAATATAGTTAGCAGAAACATACTTACTGTTTCAAAATTCCTCTAAGAAATGGAAAAGTTTGTCTTAACTGGTCTAGTTGAGTCAAGCCTTGTACAAATGTAACTGGAACAAGGAACACGAACATAAAAAAAATAGCACCTAGAAGTGTTGCTATTTTAAGGAGCCAAACTTGCTTGTAGGGTATTGAGAGGTTTGACCAATAAACATCATTTGGCTCTGGGGCTAGTTGTGTCACCCATAACATGGGATTTGATGATTGAAGAACTTGAGCTGCAACAACAGCATCATAACGAGTCCTGAAGAAAACAAAAGAAGCTGGACGTTCCTGTATCAAAGACCAAAATAACATAGGATATCACACGGCCATTTCCATCAAAAGTTAAAAAGTTAGAGATCAATATTTGATTTCAAAAATCAACCACCACATGATTGCAAAAGGAAATGATAAGATTGAACCATATAGGGAGTCTCCACAAAGAAATCAAGAAAATGACCATGAAGATGGGAAGGAAATAACAGCTTAAAAAACAAGTGTTAAGATGATTTAGGAGGCCGCTACTATATCTGATATACAATGGATAGAATTATCAATTACAGTAAATGCTGGCATAAATTCAAACAGAAGAAAAATACTTGCTCAAATTCAATTATGTAACTTACTTTAATTGTGATAAGTTAACTTTTGGAAACAAACCGCCAAAGGAATATACAAATTATACACGACTACTAACCCTTAAATCGAAGTTATTAAACTCTACTTATTTGAAAATTTCCAACCTTGTCTGTTTGACTTGGCTGCAACCTATCACTGCTGGCATTACGCTCAATACTCTCATCTTCATTTTTAAGTACCTTGAAGGAACGTAACATTCCACCACAAAGAAAACATGACATAGAACTCTCTTTATTCTGCAGCTCAATGGTTTTTAGCTTTTTGTAAATCTTCTCCACATCCTTCTGCAAAGACAGCATTGTTAGAGAATACATAGAACTTATTACACATTATAAAATAAACAGAACATTGTGTGGTGCTGTGGAATAGAATAAGAATGAAAAAGGTGAAATACAAGTTCATTTTCAAATAATAATAATAACAACAACAACAACCAAATGAACATGAGAAATTGGAAATTTCAACTTAAATGCAATGTACTAGCATATCAGCATGGTAAATCCTAACTTATTTTCTAAAATAAGTAATTGTGATTGTATGGCAAGTACTGCCAAGTCATGACTGCATAATAACACTGAACTCAAACCGCTTTATATGCAATTTTTTTCAAACATCAATAACCACATGATGGTGACGGGGAACAAGATTGAAACCACATAAGAGTCTCTAAAGATATAAAGAAAAGGACCATGCACTTGGGAAAGAAATAACAGTTTAAATAAATTGTTCAAATAATGTGGAAGGCCACTACTGTATCCCATATTCTTACAATGGTTGGAATTACCAGTTACAGTAAATGCTACCATGCCATCTATCAAAACAGAGAGGAAACTAGTTGCTTAAATTCAACAATACAACTTTCTTTTTTTCGCATCATAATTCTCTAGAAAAGGAGGTAAGAGATCTAGCAGTACGCTAAAACACCCATCTTGGAAAAGGTTGAGATTAATAACATGTTAACCATCA